AACTCGAAACCTGAACCGATCTGAAATAAATTAAACTACGTTAATCTTCACAACTAAAAATAAATTACAATTTTTTTAAAGATGTAAGTTTAAATGTCTCAAACATAATCAAACCAATTACAAACAACGTCTTATATTACTATATAAAAGCAAACATAAATTCAAATAACTAACTTCACGATTTTACGATTAGACAAAATAAATTAGACTTTTTGTGAGTCTTATTTGGGGTGTTGAGGTAAATTGGAATTAAGTCTTCTAAATTTTAATGTTAGTATTTTCTTTGATGATATATATATATATATATATATATATATATAAAAATTAAAATTAATATATATACACATATCGGGTTGGGCTGGGCAGTGATCACTGCCCCGCCCCCGTCTCCGTCCCCAAATATGTCCCGATCCGGCGATCGCGCCCCGTCCTCGATAAGATGTCCTCAAACCCGGTCCAAAAATTTTGGTTTTTAGTTTTCACTATCGGTTTCGGGTTTTTTTTTTACCATCTCTACCTCAAACACGAAGAAGATCTAAATGGCCGTTTACCTAAATGCTTACCCGGTAAGCGCTTATTGACAGAAATCAACATTATAATTTATTTTGATGCGTAAGATTCTAGTACATCAAAACATATCGAATGCAATAATTTACTGGGTACGAGTCAACATCCTCACTTACCGGATACGACTCCCCATCCTTCTCATTGCTCTTACCCAGTAAGATTCTTGGCTCTTCTCATGTTCATCTGATGAGGAGATTTATCCGATAAACACTTACCAAACAAGTGTTCAATAAACGGCCCCTAAGATTTTCCATCAGGACACGTTTTATTATAAGTTTTCGTTTCTTTAGAAATACACAACAGTTATATTATTTATAGAGTATGGATAAATTAATAATGTGGGTCCATTATTTAATTAAAATATTATAATAATGAATACATTTAATGCATATATGTACATATCAATATATTACCCGACAATGAATAAAAGTCATTAATATTATTTCAAAAAAAAAAAAAACTAAAATTATATATTTAGTGTATGATTGACTAAATTGACTTTGACTTCACAAACATTCAAGTCGGGTCAAAATTAATGGAGCCCCACACAAACAACAAGTTAGGAATTTTGTAACTGTGAAATGAAAACTAGAAACATAAAGTTTTGGGCTGAGGTTTTATTAATTGAGTCATAAAAGTTGAGCTTATAACATGAAATTAAATATAATTGATACAAACGTATTTTTGGCTGTTGGTTTGGTCCAGACCGTTCAATAAAATGTTCGAATCACAAATCAGACCGGAACAAGTGGTTTGGTTATTTTTCAGACGAGACTGCACTGCCAAACCGCTCAGACCGCCAAAAACGGTCCGGTTTGACTTTGTTCGACTGGTTTGAATAGTTCAACGGTTTTTCTTAACACTCCTAATTTTAAGCAAAAAGTGAGCACAAATAGAATAATATCAAGTCTTCTAAGGGGTTGTTTACTTGCGACTTAATTAGGCTTATTTGTCTATCTGGCTTATTCGCACAACTCATTTGAGTTGTTTACTTACGGCTTATTCACACAGAACATGACTTAATCCGATCGCATAGATAGAAATGGTGTGTTGTTCCCATTCAGCCACAAAAATGACAACTCTACCCCTTAGTTAAAGCATCGCCTCCTTCCCAAATGAGCACCCCATAGTCAACTTCTTTATGATTTTTTTTTTTGTTTTGATGTTCAAATAATTAATATTGGGGGGTAAATCGGTCATTTATGTTATTCAGACTGTTGGTTCAGATAAAAATAAAAAAAAAACAACAACACCCAATTATCCAAACAGACAAATTTATCCATACAAGACCTAATAAAAAGTTTGGTATACAGCCCCTAACTCAACCTATAATTTAACTTTTTATAAACAGCAAAGATATAATTTACAATTTTTCTAAAAAAATAATATTTTATAAATTCAACTGATTATCAATTTTTGTTGTGATTTGAATCATTACCAGATAATTTCTCTCTTTCTTTCCCATCGATATATCTGAAAATATTTTTCAAGAATAAAAAAACAGACAAAGAGACATAGGTCTTCTGGCAAGAAAATGGTGGGGTCGGTGTCGTGGAAGGAAAACATGTATACAAACGACAATTATCGTGTTTCATATTCTAATAATTTTTACGTGTCACCTCTGTACTCAAACAGTGAAACTGTCGTTTTAGTTTAAACCTGTTAAAAACACTATAAACATGAAATCTGAACTGTATACTTACATTTTATTGCGTAAATCTTCAGTGTTACATCGATAGATCTACAGATTTATCATTTGTGTCGGAAAAAAATGATTGGTTTTCCTATTTTACCCTTGAAAAAAGTGATGCACCTTTTAAGTGATTGAGAGTACTCTTACAGGTTGGAAAGTTAGTAGTGTTTTTAACATCTTGGTACCATTCATTTTTACTTTATGAAAGACCATCAATGATGGTTAAAGTGAAAGTAGTCTATGCTTGCCCTCTTTTTTACTTTTGAAACATATGGGTGTTTTTTATGTGGTCAAATATGAATCCGAAAACGAAAAAGTGGGACGACTTTATGTCTGAATTATTATCGGAACTGAAATAATGAAATCTTGTAACGATATTGTCGAATCGTATTTGTTGGACGTACTGGTTTCGTCTGACTGTGCAGGATTATTTGAATTCATTTAGGATCGAATGATTAGTGATATATGGTAATGTGTGGAATGCGAATTTTTGAAAAAGGGTCTTTTAACGGGTGAAAATTATGTAATATATGATTATATTGATCACAAAAATTAGAGGAAGGACAACTGTAAGTCTGTAACTGATAAATCTGGTTTCTTTTTGACATTCCACCATTGTGTAACACTTAATTATATAGCTCAGTCTTTTTTCCACTTGAAGTTTGTGTTCAATTCTTCATATATATATACACACACACACACACACACACACACACATATATATATATATATATATATAAGCGATCAAATGCAAACCACTTATATTTGTACAAACCGTGCAAACCACTCTTATCTGTCGATTTTATCGTTTAATTTAATGATTTTGTTTCATGAAGTTGTTTACTATTATGAAATTGTTTCATATAATACTATTTTAGATGAAGTTTTTTCATATATGGTTATGAAATTGTTTCATATATTGTTATGAAATTTTAATGAAACTGTTTCATGTATTTCTTTAAAATTAATATATTGAATATGATAATATTCATGATTAACATCCTCCATAATAAAAATGATTAATCAACCTCTCATAATTACAAAAAAAATGAAAAAACTAGAAAAAATAAAAAATTATGATTGATTGAATGAGGTTTGTACAAATAACATGGTTTGTAAAGTAAATCTCCTCATATATATATATATATATATATATAGAGAGAGAGAGAGAGAGAGAGAGAGAGAGAGTCGGGTTTAATGTAAAATCACGTATGATTTTATACGTAATTTGGTCATTTTCTTATTTTCTTAAATAAGTATCAATATATCTATATATATGTCTATATAGATAGATAGATAGATAGATAGATAGATATATTGATAATGCCTAGTAAACTACACACCGACAAATGCCGTACGCATTTATTACCGTTAACTTATATGATGATGTTGTTTGTTAAGAATCTTAATATATTCTTAAACCTTTACCGACATAATGTGAAGTGTTACATGCGTGGAAACTTCGTTCATCGAGCTCGTTTTGACAAAATGAATAGCCCTACTAATACTGTTCGTAGCACGACGATATCGAGAAATGGTCAAACCTTTGACTTTTATTAATTTCTTGAAAAAGAATGTGTAGGAGATGTTCATATTAAAGTGAGGAAATAAGCATGAAGCAATCGCAAGTTGCAACTTATAGTGTGGTCTCCTTTGGACCAGGGTCTAACCTCTCTGACACCCTGCCATACCAATCCATGTGACTACCCTCTTTTGTACTTGATTGCTCTTATTTTTGGTCAAAACTAATGGTGGGTTTTTTTTTTATTAACCTCGATATCCAATTCGCTATGCAAGCCGATTAATTTCACGGAGACCATCTATTTTGCAGATAGTCCGGAGTCACAGCATTTGAACCTCCGTGCCATAGGGAGATTTTTATTCATATTTGGATTTGAACTTGGGATCTCCTGGTACTTTTGACCTTTGGAGTCAAGCTCAAACCAATCAGGCACCACCCTTGTGGTTAACTAATGTTAGATTTTCTTTTTTTATCAATTATATTTTTCTTACCAAAAAAAAACCCAGTATAAAAAGGCCCAAGCCTGAAATCCATTCAGCATAGACAGATGACTGATAATCTGACTTTAAAAAAAAAAGAGTTGTTTTCTTTGAACGTGGCATTTAAGGCAAAGAATCGGTTTTTCGAGCCGGGTTTTCCAACCATTTACCAAAAACGAGCTATTTTGTGTCTTTTACCCCTTTTCGATTCTATTTTACTAAACTACCCTTAAAAACTAGAATCATGGAGGGGTATTTTTGGGAACTTCACTTTATACAAGTTAGTATAAATAGAGAATGTTAAAGTTTAAATAGAAAAAGTTCGGGCCATGTGAATTTTCTATCTTCAGGGTCCCATGACATTAGTTGAGATGCACATAAACCGACCTGTAAATCCAAGACTACCCAAAATAGAAAGGCCACAACCACAAGGATGGTGTCTGATTGGTTTGAGCTTGGCTCCAAATGTCAAAAGTACCAGAAGGTCTCAGGTTCAATCCAAGGAGGAATAAAAATCCCCTTGTAGTCACGAATGTTCAAATACAGTGACTCCGTACTATCTACAAAGCAGGTGGTCTCCCTGGGATTAGTCAGCTCGCATAGCGGGTTGGATATCCAGGTTAATCAAAACAAAATAGAAAGGCAGCAAATCACATTTTCCAACCACTAAAATGCAACAGAATGTGAGCTCAGAACAAAGATCAAACTTGAGAAAACCTTCAAAACCTGAAGTCTTTCAGAAACAAAATCCTCAAGACCCATCCATTTTGATCCCAAAAAGTCAAAGTTATGCAAGTTGAGTCAACAACAGTTTTGATGGTCACAAACATGGAAATCAAATGAGCAAAGCAGAGACTTATTCAAAAAGCCAGATTCGAGTTTCGCCTTTTAAGGACGGAGGATTTGAATTCTACGAGAGCTTATTCGAGGTCGTCAATCCAATCCCCATAAATACGGCTAATCTTGTCGGGACCCTTCCACTTCCTAACGGGTCTCTCTGATGTGGCTGGCGGCAGCCCAGAACCACCAACATGAGCCACTGATGAGCGGGTGGCTGCTACGACGTTCACTTGCTGGTTGGGGTTAGCCTCGTCGTCAACAAGAAGCCCACCACCGTATCGATGCAGTTCTGCCAAAAGAAATATTAGTTTCCAATATATCCAGAGGTGTAAAAATGTAATGTTCGGCATTGTTTAATTTGGATGTCAAACTTAAACCAAACCAAACCAAACCAAACCAAACCAAACACATCCACTATGTTCCACTCAAATTGACAAAAATAGTCGATCTTTGCAACCAGATTCAATTTTTGGCTACTTTTGGAACGGAATTCCCATTTTATCTAGAGTTTACGCAAAAAAGGTCTTGTGTATTTATGTAAAGCCTATTTTCAGATTAAAAAAAAAGAAAAAAAATGTATTCACGCAAATTCTTTAAGCAAATGTGGATCCTTACGCACATTTGCATAAAGATTTTTTTTTTCTTTTTTTTAGTCTGAAAATTGAGTTCGATAAATGGGAATTCAATTGAAAAAGTGACTAAAAATGAATTTGGTTGGGATATTGGCCATTTTGGTCAATTGTTTGCAGAAACCTGCCCCCACCCAAAAGGGACCATACTACACACGCAGGATGGGGCGACGATAGGAAAATCTATTGTCATGCCTAGACACAATTGAGTGGGGAAAAAAATGCACTTTTTCTGTCCCACCAGAATAAGTGAAACAAAATTAGTAAATTACTAAACTACCCATTGACTCTCACCCGTCGAGTCCAGTCTGTGTATCAACCACACTCATATGTAAAGATCTAATAACCTATCTACCTTCTCTTTTTATGAGCTAAATTGATAGGTCACTATAAATTCTTACATTTTAACATACTTTTTACTATTATAGTACTTATGCATGTAGTTTATTAACTTTTTATTCGAACTTAAATACACACATCGATTCTCAAAACCGGAAGCAAGTTGTTTGGCTATTAAAGTCAAAATCACGACAACCATGGAAACTACAAAGACGTTTGGTTCGTAGGGATCCGAAGGAATCTGAAGGAATTGGAAACTGCCTTGACGTTCTAAACCCAACTCACGTACCACTTGAACCGGCAACAGATTTTCTATTACCATTCCCTCTGCTTCTTCAACTTTATGATGTCTCTATCCATTCTCATGAACATTTAAATACTTTGTATATCAATTTTGAAAATAAACAAGTCTTTTGACATTCAAAGTCAAATTTTATGGGAACAGAAACCAAACAAAATCAGTAAATCTTACCCGGAGGTACGGTCTTGAGGGGTAAGTTGTACACAAATCTTACCTCTGTTTCAAAAGATAGAGAAATTGTTTTGAGAAGACCACCGACTATTTTAGCACAAAACATCGAACTTTCGGAACTACAAGCTCATGATCATAGGATAAGACGAATTATGCTACGACGAACTTAGATTAAATTATGTCGAATGTATAAGCATTTGTTGGACCTCTCTAGTATCTTCACCGCTAGATGGTTGCATGCATCACATGAAGAGGCAAATTCCCTGCGGTATAAGGTTCCACGAACTCGTAGATAAGGCCAACTCCTTTGGCATACTCCATACTCCACATAGGTACCGTTACCGTACTATCCCCACGCCAACCTTGTATAACCTCTATCAGTTCTTATTAATCTTTTGGTACATGTCTCCTCTTTCAACCCATGCAGTGACCACATCTTGAGCATGATATGTTATTTTGCCAAAAGAAATACACTTGGGGGGTTCTCTTATTATAAGGATGTGTTTGGTATGCGGGACATGACACTACAAAAACTTGTTAACCTGTGTTTGGCACAACATTGGACCAGGACTAAGAAACCTATATAGGACAAAAATGCTTTTTTCTGTCCCCCCAAAAAGGATGGAACAAAAATCAAAGAAACCGACAAGATTTGTAAATTACTAAACTACCTATGTCAAATTAAGACCTTAAAAGGGTAAAACAACAATAGAAGTTAGACCTATTATAGCAATGAAAAGAGCTAAATTAAGCCTAAATGGGTTGATCACACCAATAATATCCCTTACGCTCTATGAAGTAACCCCGATTCCATTAATGATTCCAAGCATTTATAGCTCTACTTCAATCATTTCATTTTCACCACACCTACCTTATAGAACAATCCATATTGTAAAAACCAAACATAGTAAATCCCATACAGAGGGAGGGGAGGGGCGGGGCGTGGGGGGGAAGGATGTTGGCAGACCTTGCCTCTCTCCCCAAGGGGTAGAGAGGTAGTATCTGTGAAAGCCCTTGATTTGCAAAACAAAAATTGGAAGCAACAAGTAAGCAAGCTACAAGCTACAGGTGAGAGTGTGTTCAGAACAAAGAAAGCATCTGCCAGCTAATATTTCTAATCAAACTATGTGGTTTTATAACAGGCATAAATTATGGACAAGCTTTTCACTCCCCTATTTCTTTGAGCATGTGTAATGCAATCAACATTAGAACGTAAGTGAAAACAATGAACTCGGATTGTTATCTTCATTAGTTCAATGTAATGTTGCTTTTCTCCAAAGGCTACTGAATTTGCTAGACCACATGGGTGGCGCTTGTCCATGATGTCCCTTGGGCCTATTCTTCGTTGTTCTTCAGGGTGCATTTGGTACATGGGACAAATTAGGACAGGACAACACAAAATTTTGTTGTCCCACCTTTGGCGCGACATTAGACTGGGACAAGACAGACTGAGTGAGACAAAATGCATTTTTTTCTGTCAGCAAAATAAGTAAGAACAAAAATCAGGGAGATGGGTGGTAAGTTACTAAAATACCCATGTCAAATTAAAACGCTAAAACCTTCCACAATTCTTTCACCAATTACCTTCACTTATATATAAGCAGAGGGCATCTAAGTTGAAGTCTCCATTATAGAAACATCAGAAGAATAATTGTCAATTGCACAAAGAATGTTGGTTCATTTTAATGAACATTCCAAATGGAGGCAAAAAGTATCAAACAGGACATAAATACACTTTTACATGTGCCAAGAATGACATAATGGAGCATGTAATCAACTAATAGCCAAGATTTATGTCAAGTAACAATCTGTGTGTCTAGATTTTAGTCAAGAGCTCAAGATAGAAACTCAAACCATTTGTGGTTAATGAGTATTAATCAAGCTAACAGGTAAAGGGAATTAACTATAGTTTCCAACATACAACCATAAAGATATATATAAACCAAGAAAGCCATTTAAGATCATTAGTTTATTACTATATGAAATAAGGTTAAAATGAAATATACCTGCCGCCCCATGAGCAAAAATGCACTTGCTCCCGTATGGGCAATTACCTGTCCGCTCCCACTTGTAACATATCTTGGTCTTCCAACTCGGCTTCACCGTTGAATTAGACGCTGCTGACACTAGTGGTGCCGCTGCTGGTGCTGCTGCTAGTGGCAGTGCTAGTGGTGGTGGTGCTAGTGGCGGCGCTGCTGCTGTTCCACTTCCACTCCCAGTAGCTCCTCCATTCCCATACCCAACACTAGATCCAGGACCCAAAAGTATCGCAGTTCTTTCTCGGCCTTTCATTTTATCATCATGAAGATAAGTGCATTTATCACCAAAAGGACAGCCCTCTTCAGAAGAGAACTTCCTGCAGTGTCGGACTCTGGATGACCTCAGTTTCTCAATAATAAAGCGAGGAGACCCAAGTGATGGAATTTCAAATTCTTCCCTTCCCGAAACAGGTTGATCATCCCGATTGTCAGCTCCACGTCTTGGGCCATGTCCACCAATTATATGAATGATGTTTCTCCCATCTCGGCCGCCATTCATTTTGGATGCGGCTGAATCCCTCAGGAAATCTTTCCAAAGTTGATACTAAACCAAGTAGACAAAACCCTAGGAGAAACACTTATATACGGGTAGTGCAACTCCAAAAACGACGTCGCAAGACTTAAGTTATTGTTCGTTAACATAAATAAAAAGGCTAGGCCTAAATATTTATAGAATCATTGATACTAACTAGTAGAATAGATAGACGCAAATACAAAGCCCAAAATTCAAAGTATCACTTGCATCTTAAATTAAGAACGAAACAAATAAATGGAGAATTTGTAATGCAAATAGAAAACCCAAAATTCCAACAGTATCACCAATATTTGAAGTGGAATCAAGAACATCCAAATAGATGGAGTTTCTGTGATGCTTATATTACAACTTCAAATCCTACCCAACAGAGTTACTGTAACAAAGGAAGAATAAAACTACCTAAACAACAACCAAAGATCTAGAATAAAAATAAACCAAGAAAGGAAATCTTAAGAATAGTACAATCTTTGTCACTAGAACAGATCTAGAGAGCAGATTCATGAACTTATCACAATAATTTAACAAACTAAGGGTATTTATGACACTAGAAAAAGAAAATTACCCAATGAAAACAGTTATTATCCAATAAGCAACCTAAAACTAACGCATTAAGACTTAAATTAAATAACTAACAGCAAGTATGACAATGAAAGAGGGAAAATTACCCGATGAAAGCAGTTATTATAGAATATATGTAGAACTAATGCTTCGACTCAAACTAAACCCAAATGGTTAGATTTTCAAACATATGTTGCCTACATCAAGAGGATTTTCAAACATATACAGTCATTTTACATAGAAAGGCCGAAAAGAACATTAACAATTCATGGTAACCAATTCATGTTAATTGTAAGATTAATTCATGTTAATTGTAAGATTAATACCAGTTGGGACGAGGAAAACTTGATTCTGTTTGCTTCTATCCCTGAAAACGTATTTGATTGTTCATGATTATTTTATGTCAAACCTCCATCCGGCTTGCAAAAACCAAAACAGATCCTTGTCTTAACGATAGGGGAACCAAAGATACCAGTATGTTCAGACCCCTAACTCCTAAGCCCAAATCGGGCTCCAACCCGAGAGGGGCCTTTTAAGCCGATAAATACAAGAATCGAAAGTAAAGTAGAACTTCTCATCTACATGACCTAAAGTATTGGCCTTATCAGTTGAGAAGAATCAAAACAGTCAACCGCTTATGTGCAATTCGTGTGCTTGTTGTGTTGGTGATATCTAAAACAAAAAATACAATTTCCTACTTTTCTTCTCTTTGTTTTTGAACGGTTCTAAGATTTGTCATATATGATTTAAGAAGTTAAGGCTATGGGGGTCAATTGAGCTCAACACACGATGAGGGTAAGGGGCTTTGTGCAATTAAGCTCTTTATAACTATGCTCAAAGACTCCAAAAAGTTCGGGAACCAAACCCTACAGAGAGGTTCGAAGGAACTATGAGTTCAATGAGCAGTCCATGATTCACTTTTGAACAAGCCAAGCGAAGGAAGTATGAACAGCTGCTTTATCTATTGACAAGCATTGAGTTCAAGTAGATAGCTTCATCAAGGTAGATAGGGCTGTGGGGAAGTGATGATATGTCAGGGATCAAGGATGAGGGTTAAAATAATATCAAAAATCAATCAAGCAAAAACAAGCATTATATGTTGGTTTATTTGTACTCTGAACCCTTTGTTGTTATTTAGGTAGTTTTATTGTTCCTTTGTTACAGTACCTCTGTTGTATAGGATTTGAAAGTTGTAATATAATACATCGCAAAATCTCAATCTATTTGGCTTGTCTTGATTCCACATTCAAAATATTGGTGATGCTATTAGAATTTTGGGTTTCTCTATTTGCATTGCAGATTCTCCATTTATCTGCTTTACAATAAAGTGAGAGACTGAATTTTGGGCTTTCTACTTGCATTTATCGATTCTACTAGTTTGTATCAATGATTCACCAAATATTTTGGCCAAGCTTTTTTATTTATTCTAAACAACAATAACTTAGTTTGGATCGTCGTCTTTTGGAGCTGCACTACCCATGTACAGTCAATCCTTCTAAATTTGTCTACTTGGTTTAATATTAACTTTGGAAAATTTTCCTAATGGAATTCTACTGTATCCAAAATGGATGACAGCCAAGATGGAATACATATTCAAACCATCTTAGCTCCTAACCCTAAAATTAGAAAGAAACAAAGAAACCCTCATCCTCATCCCTTACCATTAACTTCTTGATCAGATAAGTTAAAACAATGGGAATAAAAAGTAGAATGTTGCATTTTGTTTCACATACCATCGACACACAATCACACCGATGGAACAAGGATCTCAAACAAACCACCGACCACCGCAATTTTTTGGGGCTTTCTTTCTCGTTCTCCCCCAATATGCGTTTAAGAACCCTAGAAAAAACAGCAATAACAGGCATTAAAACAATATCATGATGAACCGATAACAATCTTTCCTCGAGAAACAAGTGATGTAAGTAATCAAACATCATCGTAGCAGTAGCAACAACAACAGAAATTGCAATACAAACCATTTTCGATGCGGTGAGTTTGAAATTTTGGGGATTTCCATGCCATAATTTCAAGAAACAACAGAAAAACTAAAAGGCAAGAAGAATATGACCGTGAAGAAATGGGGACGGAATCATCTAAGCGGCAAAAAATCATCTCTATGTTCTGTATTTCTTTGAAACCACCGTTATTGGAAATGCCACGGTTTCTTACAGAATTGAGGATATTTTATGGACTTAAAACGTAAAAAAAAACATCTTATTTGTTTATTCCGGTATGGTATCGGTATAAGCACTTTTGAGTATTTTGATAAATAATTTATATCGATGTCAAATCGGTAATTAAGTTGATAAGCATTTTTGTAGAAAAACATAAGTTGTTTCAAATAAGCAATCTCAAACACCCCTAAATTACGGATTTGATCCAATGGTATGTGGAGTTTTACAAAATTACTCCCTGGATTTCATTTATCACGTAGAACATTTGATGGTATTCACTTTTTTAAGAATTTGGTTATTTTCCTTAACGGTTATCCACTGTCTTCATTAAGCTTGAGGGTATTTCTATCTTACTTGCTTTCTAGATTGTTTAGATAAGTTTTAAATCATATCTTCTTTCGCAAACAATCTATAAATTCTGTACTGATCTTCTTTTATCAATAAATGATTTTAAAAAGTGAAAATTGTATGTGCGTATTCATCTCCTCTCCATAAATTGTTATCTATAAACTCTTGTAGATCCGTATGCAACCAACAGAAAGATGCTCAACATTTAAGGCACACTTAAAATGAGCAAAATATCTACAATTGGAGAGCTAAAGTATGTTGTAGGATCAAACAATGAAACGTCTTATCTAAAAATGTTGTAATAAGTTGATACGATATTTTTTCGCGTCTTGACAAAGCTTTTAGAACATTTCAGCGTCGTATTGTTTGTTTTATTGAACACTTTTGAGAAAATGTAAACACATATTTTTATAGGACGTTTGTTTTTATATACACTTTTTCAAATAGTATCCAGTAATATAGCTAATACGACGTTTTATTATAAAAATGTTCTAAAAGGCTTGTTAAGATGCCAAAAACATCATATAAATATCTTGCAACATCTTTAGATAAGACGATTTATCGTTTGATCTTATAAAATTAAGTCCTATAAAACAATTTATTGAGACATTTGAATATTTTTACCGTCTTATAAACCCAAATTTATTATAGTTGTTTTTATAAATTATAATTCATTTACCAAAATACCTTTGGCAAATAAATTAAATTTTGTTCTCACCAAGCAATAATGATTCATAAGATTTTGATCCATAAGTATTTTCCAGTTTTATTTTTGATATTAAACATTTAAATATTTAATTATTATTTAAATATCTATACTATATTATAATGCATTTGGCTAAAACTCTTAAAAACTCTT